ATCGCCACCTCGGAGAAGGTGGGGCGCTCCATGAACAAGAAGACCTACGATGGGGTGGTCCGGGCTCTGCTGCAGAAGCCCAATGCCAGAGTGGTTGTGCTGTTCACCCGAAGCGAAGATGCCCGGGAGCTTCTGGCAGCTGCCCAGCGAGCCAATGTGTCCTTCACATGGGTGGCCAGTGATGGGTGGGGAGCCCTGGAGAGCGTGGTGGCTGGGAGCGAAGCGGTGGCAGAGGGAGCCATCACCATTGAACTAGCAGCATACCCCATTAAGGAATTTGCTTCCTATTTCCTTAACCTCCACCCCTACAATAACAGCCGAAATCCCTGGTTTCGGGAGTTTTGGGAGCAGAAGTTCAAGTGCAGCCTCCACATGCAGGACTGTAGCCGGTACTCCCTCAAGACAGGCAAGTTTGAGCCAGAGTCCAAGATCACGTTCGTGGTCAATGCAGTCTATGCCATGGCTCACTCTCTCCACAACATGCACCAGGCACTGTGTCCCAATGCCACCAAGCTCTGCGATGCCATGAAGCCTGTCAATGGCAAAAGATTCTACAAGGACTTTATGCTCAATGTTAATTTTGATGGTGAGTCCAGAGATGGAGATGGGTTTTATCTGCCTGACTGGAAAGGGATGGGTGGAGGGGCAGGGAAGAGCAAGGAGACCAAAATTCATCCCAAGACCCTTCAATTCCTCTACAGAGGGACCCCTGTGCCATGGGCTGTGGTTGAACCAGGATGCCAACAGCTCACCATCAACTGTGGGAGGAAATCCAGGCCTTCTGTATCCAGTGTGGAAAAGCTGGTGACCAACTCCATCCTGCTACAGCTGGGTGGGGGGACCCTCCAAGAACATAGGTCCTTGGAGACCTCACTTGCAATTGTCATGATTTATTCACATTTCAGAGATTAAACTAGAGGATTAAACTGGAGGATTACCCTTGATCAAGAACCCATGTAGTTAGGGGTGAATTAGAAGTGTGCTCTCTCTGACTTGGGCTGAGCCTGGCTACCCAGGTGTCACTGAGAGCCACAGAGGCTGCAAAATTGCCTGCTTTGCCCCTGCAGAGCTGACTGGGGCTGCCGAGCTATTAGGCATGTGGGGAGGAAGTTCTTCACCTTTGTTTTTCTGCTCCTAACGTGCGCACAGGCAGCAAGCATGAGAGTGAAGGCAGGGAACAGGTTGGACGTTTGCCTGTGGCCATGGTGGGATGTGACCCTTTGAAGGAGCCCTGCCTCCAGGCCGGCAGCTCTCCTGCCCCATGGCAGTGATTGTCTCCCCTTCTCTCCCCAGCTCCATTCAAGCCAGCAGACACCAAGAGCATCGTTCGATTTGACCGCTACGGCGATGGGATTGGGCGCTACAATATCTTCAACTATCACCACATGGACGGGCGGTATCGGTATCAGAAGGTGGGCTACTGGGCTGAGGGGCTTATCCTCAACACCAGCCTCATCTCGTGGGCTGGGACCTCCATCCCTGTGTCCCAGTGCAGCGACCCCTGCAAGAAGAATGAGATAAAGAGCATGCAGCCTGGAGACATATGCTGCTGGATCTGCATCCCCTGCCAGCCCTACGAGTACTTGCTGGATGAGTTCACCTGCATGGACTGTGGTCTCGGTTACTGGCCCAACGAGACCCTGAATGGCTGCTACGAGTTGCCCCAAGAGTACATTCGCTGGAAAGACGTCTGGGCCATTGGTCCTGTCACTATCTCTTGCCTGGGTTTTATCTCCACCCTCTTTGTTTTTGGAGTCTTCCTGAAGAACAATGACACTCCCATCGTGAAGGCCTCTGGCCGGGAGCTCTGCTACATTCTCCTGACTGGGGTCCTCATGTGCTACAGCATGACCTTCATCTTCATTGCGAAGCCCTCCACCGAGGTGTGCACGCTCCGGCGCCTGGGGCTGGGCACGTCCTTCGCTGTCTGCTATTCAGCCCTTTTGACCAAGACGAACCGCATCGCCAGGATCTTCAGCGGGGTGAAGGAAGGGGTCCAGCGCCCCCGGTTCATAAGCCCCACATCACAGGTGGTCATCTGCATGGCCCTCATCTCTTGCCAGCTGATCATCGTTATCATCTGGCTGCTGGTGGAGACCCCCGGCACAGGCAAGGAGACCGAGCCTGACAAGAGGTACATTGTCACCCTCAAGTGCAACAACCGTGACTCCAACATGCTCATTTCGCTCACCTACAATGTCCTCTTGATTGTCCTCTGCACGGTCTATGCCTTCAAGACACGGAAATGCCCTGAAAACTTCAATGAGGCCAAGTTCATTGGGTTCACCATGTACACGACCTGCATCATCTGGCTGGCCTTCCTGCCCATCTTCTATGTGACCTCCAGCGACTACCGAGTAAGAGCTTAAGTTTTGGGGAGGATCTAACAGGGCTTGATCTGGTCCTGGTGATGTGGCTCCCACAGTGTTTGTGGTTAGGATGGGGCATGGACCTGGGGAAGGGTCTTTGGCCATGGATTTCGTGATGGTCACCCTTCATTGGGGCGTTTGGGACCAAGTGAACGGTGGCTGAAGGGCTGTGGCAGAGGGGGCAATGGGTCCTAGGGAGAACATTCCCCCGCCTTGATGGATTGTTTGCCTTGATGGACTGTTTTCTAGGGTGAGGCTGGGAAATGGCCCTGAGACCAGACCTCCAGACTCCCCAGGCTGACCATGGAGGAGTGATAGCCATCCTTCAGCCTTGCAAAACACAGGAACGAGACACCCCTCACCCAGGGCATGAATGCCAACCCCAGGGCTAGCATGGTCCCTGGGGAGCCGAGCAGTGCCAGGGACTGGGAAGCATGGGGTGCACCCTGTAGCACCTCAACTTCCCTGGCAAGCGTGGGCACCCAGACACATTCTTGTTGGGCCTGGAGGACTTGATGGGGGCAGCTGTAGCTGGGGGCTTCCAGAGAGGACCTATGTTCCCCAGTGGGAGTACTCAAAGCAGAATGTTGGCAAGGCTGGAGGTGCTGCTCAGGGTGTACCCACTTTACAGGGGCAGCATGTCCCCATCAGGGCAGTGCCCACCCTCTGCCCATGGGTCTCCAGTGGGTCCACCCTCACAGAGGGACCTGGGGTGGGGTGGGCTGTCCCCAGGGAGTGCAGGCAGCAGCTTCTGTCTGGTGCCACAATGAGGGCTTTGTCCTGCCCCGCTCAGGGCAGAGGGCTGGTGGCAGGAGCACCTGACGTCTACTCCCATCTCCAGGTCCAGACCACCACCATGTGCATCTCGGTGAGCCTCAGTGGCACCGTGGTCCTCGGCTGCCTCTTCACCCCCAAGCTCCACATCATACTCTTCCAGCCGCAGAAGAATGTGGCCAGCCACCGTGTGGGCACCGCTCGGTTCAGCGTGGCAGCCGCCAGCTCCAGCCAATCCCATGGTGAGCACAGTGGGGCTGGAGAAGGGCTGTGGGGGGCAGCAGCCCCTTTCTGGCGGGGGGGTGGGAGCACCCATCAGGGGCCCCTGAACGAAAGTGGTGTGCAGGATAGGGCATGGCTGGAAGTGGGGGAATGGAAGACGCTGTGTCGCCTATGGCTCATGCCTGTCCCCTGACCCAATCCCCCATCTCCTGTGGCTGCAAGCTCTGAGGCTGCAGCAGGGCCTTCTAGTGGGGGTAACTGTTCCCGGGCAGGGGCCAGGGCCTGTCATTGCCCTGAGGGGACATGGCCACCCCAAGCACTCAACACCCTGGCCCCGAGGGGATGTGGCCACCCTGGGCACCCTCCAAGCCAGCCCCAGGGGCTGCAGCTCCCCAGGCACCCATCGTTCATAGCAGTATGATGCCCTGGGGAGATGCTGCTGCCAGACCCCAACACACCCCTGACTGTTGCCTTCCCGGCCAGGCTCAGCCTCGCAGTACGTGCCCACGGTGTGCAACGGCCGTGAGGTGGTGGACTCGACGACGTCATCCTTGTGAAGGACGGGGGGGGGGCCAGGCCATGGTGCTGCTGCTCCTGTCTGCGGCTGCTCTGCACCCCGGCTCCCTCCCCAGGGACAGCAGCGCCCGTGGCATGGCCACTCGGGTGCCAGAGGCAGCTGGGAAGCTCAGCCCCTGTCCCTGCACGAGCTACACATCCCATGTGTTGGGTCACGGTACGTGTCACCCTTCCCTTGCACTGAGCCACGTTACACGTCCCCTGTACTGAGCCGTGGTGAACATCCCTGCTCCCCTGAACCGAGCCGTGGTGTACATCTCCCCCAGCACCTGCACTGAGCCATGGTGCGCATCCCCCTGTCCCTTGCACTGAGCCATGGCGAACATCCCTCCAAGACACCTGCACTGAGCCGTTGTGCACCCCCACGCCCCTGCACTGAGCCATGGTGCTTGTCCCCCCCAGCCCCTTCCCTGCGCTGCAGTGCTCAGCCCCCACTCCCCGCACTGAACTGTGGTGCAAGCCCCGCCCCTTGTCCCTTGCCCTGAGCCCTGGTGCACACCCTGTCCCTTGCACAGAGCTGTGGCACAGAACCCATCTCCCTCTCACCAAGCCACGTTGCAACACCCACTTTGCTTGCACCGAGCCATGCTGCACCTCCCGCTCCCTCCACGCCAAGCCCTGTGCCGGCACATGCTGCCCTCACCCCATCACCCACCCCATGTTCCCAGTGCTGGGCCTTTCCCGTCATCCCCTATGCCAGGCTCTGCACCGTGTCACCCTTCCCCCCGTGCTTTGCACAGTTTCACCCTCTCCTCCTCCTTTTTGGCCCCAGGAAAGCTGCCAAATGCTGCCGGGCTGGGCCCAAGCCCCCTCCAACCCTCCCCTCACTGCGTGTAGTGCTGCTCACTCCTTTGTGAGAGACGGGGCAGGAGCAGGGGCAAACACCCGCTGCCCCCCCAGCCCTGCAGAGCTTGGGGTGGGTCCGGCAGGGGCTGAGGGCAAGTAACAGGACCTAGGTATTTAAGTCCAACCACGTTTTTAAGAGTAGATTTTTTTCTGTGAGCGAGAGTGTGAATTTTTTTTTGTAATTTATGTAAATAAAAGTGGTTTTGGTTGTTTTTTTTTTTAAATGGACTCTTCCAGAGCTCAGGTCCAGCTGAACCTGAGGGAAAGGGACAGGCCCTCGCAGAGGGCAGAGTCCCACCAGCCCCAGGAGGGTGGGTGCATGAAGGACGCAGGACCCAGCTCCAGGGACAGGGGTTTAATGATCCAGCTCCAGCATCTCCAAGAGCAGAGGGCTAGGAGCTGTCAGGGACTTCAGGGCTGGGGGCTGCGGCCCTCCCTTTCAGGGGGATGATGCAGATGCTGTTTTTGGCTTCTTTGACTCTCCACCACCGGCCAAGCCTGTAGATGAGAGAGATGGGGGTCACACTCTGCCAAGGACCAGAGGAGAACGGGGCACTGCACCCCCAGTCAGCACCAGGGAGGGGGGAACAGTACCGGTGCTCCTGTCCAATGCCAGCCACGAGGAAGTCACCAGCTGCTGAGAACTTGAGGCTGTTGACAAAACCCACCTGGAATCCAGGACGGGGCAGGGGTGAGGGGCTCCTGCAGCCTCCTCCTGCCACCCACAGAGGGCAGACCCTGCCAAGAGATCTCCCCCAGCCCAGCATCTCCAACCTCCCCATTCATACCAAGGGGATGTCCCAGAGGGGCTCCAGCTTCCGAAATCCCTCTCCACACTTCCAGAGCTTCACACTAGCGCTGTGGGAGCCTGGGGCAGAGAGAGGAGACTGCCATGCACCCCGACCCGGGGGAGGGAGCAGGACATCGTCCCCATACACCTAAACCTCTGCCACACACCTGTAGCCAGGAGATCACTGTTGCGCAGGGCGGCCACTGCTGAGATCCAGTATGGCTGCTGCAGGCCCTGGGCGTCCTGCATGCCATGTGCCTGCCGGGCCAGCGCCAGCGGCTTCTTCTTCGTCAGCCCCCACAGGGCTACGGACCTGTCAGGGAGGGGAGGGGAGGGGTGAGGGGGCTGAGCGGGGTGTCATCTGCCCACTCTGGGAACCATTGTGGCCCCGTGCTCACCCGTCATCAGCACCTGATACCATGTGCTCTTCATTGATGAGCTGGATGCAGTCGATGGAGCCCCTGTGAAGAGAAAGGGCAACTGCCATCAGTTAGGAGCGTGTGTTACGATCCTCTTGAGGAGTCAAGGGCTCACTGGGGCATCAGCATCCCCAGGGTACCAGCAGGCTCCCAGTGGTGCTTGGCACTCGCACAGTGCTGCCCCAGACAGACCTGCCTGTCCCCAGCCCCCTCTCCCTCCCCAGACCTACTGGTGTCCATAAAACACGAGCTGCGACTCCTCGGGGATCTTCCAGAGGCGCACGGTGCCATCCCGTCCCCCCGCTGTCACACAGCACTCCCGGCTCAGGCTGTCCAGCCCTGTGACAACATCCTGGTGCCCAAAGCTGGAGGAGGAAATGGCAAAGGGCTGCGGCAAGCATGGCCCTCTGCCACCTCACCTTCCTTGGGGACACCGGTGCATCCCGGGGCTGTTGGGTCAGTGGGTTTCCCCCCCCACCACCCCAGGTCTTACAGGGTCTCCACATATGCGTTTTCTGCCACGTTCCAGACCTTGACGCAGCGGTCGTGGGAGGCACTGTACAGCTGGTGTGTGCCCTTTCGGAAGGACAGACCCTGTGGACAGACGGACGGACACGGGCACAGCAGTGAGGGGCGCCAGGGAGGACCTGGCTGCTGGCCCCACAGGCATCGCAGTCGATTCCCCTGACTCACCGAGACGGCGTCGCGGTGCCCGGTGAAGATGTGCAGGCGCTTGCAGGTGACTGTGTCCCAGATCATGATCAGCTTGTTCCTGTCTCCCGTGGCCTGGCAGACAGCAGGGGATACCTGAGACCTGCCCCTCGGAGGCACGTGGCCCGGCCCAGCCTCCACTCTCACCCCATGTGCTTTGGGGTGTCCCAGGGAGCAATTCTCAACTCCAGTGGGGGAAGGGGCTGCTTTAACCCAGCCAGGTACATCTGGGCATGAGACACTGACCCCAGGACCCGGGGAGGAGATGCACTCCCCACGGCCACCTCTCTGCCCCATGCGGCAGCACCAACCCCCTCTGCCCGTACCAGGTACTTGCCATCCGACGAGATGGCCATGCAGAGGACGTGGGATGCATGCCCCATGTGCTGCTCCTCGGTGCCCTTCTTCCCCCCAGGCACCACGCACAGCCTCTTCCCGCTCTCCACGTCCCCTACAGGAAAGGCATCACCGTCACCCACTGGGAGCCTCCCACCACTCCAGAAAGCGCCGGGAGCCTCCCACAGAGCCCAAAATGATGCACGTGCGAATCCCCGGAGGGGTCAGGGGCTAAGCCACCTCCATGGACACCCACAGTCCTGCTGCTGTGGGGTCCCTGCAGGTGTCAGGCTGGGGGAACAGCCAGTTGCGGCCCCAAGAAAACACTTGCATTTGATGAGGGAGCCGTCCTTGGAAGCGGAAAAGATGAACCGGTCATCTGGAGAGATGACCAGGCAGGTGACGGGCAGCTGGTGTCCCCGCAGCACGCGGATGCTGGCCGGATCCGGAGGCTGCACCTGCAGGGAGAGCGGGATGTGAGCTGGACTGCCCTGGCCTCTTCTCTGGGCACAGGGGTACCCCAGCACGGCACCCTCCCCTCTCCAGGGCGCCAGGAGATGGCACCCCTGGGTGGGAGAAGGGCCCTGCTCCTGTAGTCAGCACGGTAACTCAGGGTGCCAGCCGGGGCTGTACCCGAGCATCCCCCAAAGCCAGCACTTACTGTCTGGTACCCCAGGGCTGGGCACTTACATCTTTGGCGACCTGGCGCTGCAGCCGGCCCTTCTGCTCGAGCTGGGGAAGAAGCAGGGGGCTCAGCAGGGGAGGCCCCGGCCCCGCGGGAGCACGGCAGAGCCCACTGCCACCAGGACCAAGGGGACGCGCCCGGGGCCCCCCTGCTCACCACGTCCTCCTTCAGCCGGTTGCCGATGAGATCCACCGGCTGGGTCTCCTCCTCTTCCTCCTCCTCCGCCCGCTCCTCCTCTGCGGCGGACATAGTGCATGAGGGCCGGGGTCAGCGCCCGGGGCCGCCCCGCCGGGGCT